GGAACAAGACATCTTCAAGAGCGAAGATTCTGGACCTCCAGAAGTTGCAGAAGCCCAGTTGCAGGAACTGGATCGTGAGGCAATGCTCACAGAGATCAACAGACTCACCGAGATGAAGGCATTGGCAAGGAAACCCTTGCAAGAACTCGAGAGAGAAGAGGAGAGAGAGACAGAAGAAGAAGAGAGCAACCAAGGAACAAAGTGGTTGACGACGAAATTCGTCTTCGATTGGCGATTCAGGAACGGCCGATGGACAAGGAGAGCTAGGCTAGTCGCAAGAGAGTTCAAAGCAGCAGAAGTAAGGAATGACACATTCAGCCCAGCAACAAGCGCATCGTTGGTGAGACTTATCCCTATTTTGGGACTACAACAGGAACACGCCTTGTACTCCATTGATGTCAAGGACGCATTCTTGCAGGTACCACAAAGGACCCGATGTGCATGTCAATTCCCAAAGGAATATGTGGATCTGTTTGGCGACCAGGACCCCAGTTGTAGGAACGAAGGTTTGTTACTGCTAAGAGTACTTCCAGGACAGCGAGATGCAGCACTACTATGGAGTGATCATTTTGCAGGAACCCTCAAAGAGCAGAACTTTGATAGGAGCAAAGCATGCCCTACTTTGTTTCGTGACGACAGGAACAGCATACTTGTTGTGCATGTAGATGACATTCAGGCAGCAGGGAAAACAAGGCACCTAGAGCCCAAGCTAGGAAAGCTAGGAGAAACCTACGAGCTAAAGGTTGAAGGCCCCTTCTTGACAGAGCAGGAACTTGAAGTAGGAGAGTCACACCAGACAATCCGATTCCTTAAAAGGAAATTCAGCTACCACAATCACGAGCTCCACATCACGAGTGACCCGAAGTATCTTGTGAAGCTTAAGGAAGAACTGAAGCTTACCAGCAAAGCCTCAAAGCCAACTCCGTGCACCCAAGAGTCGCAGGAACAGGACAACACTCAGACCTTGAACCAGGAACAAGCAGCATCGTTCAGGAAGAGCGTTGGCATACTCTTGTATGTCAGTCAGGACCGCCCTGACGTGCAGTTTGCCGTGAGAGGTTTAGCCTCCAAGATGTCGGAACCAACACATGGTTCTTGGAAGCACTTAGTCCACCTAGTGCAGTACATGTCGAGAACTGAAGGATACCATCTAGTGTACAGGAAGACACCCAGAGGACTCAGTAATCTCAATGAATCCATTAGGAATGGTAACTACGACTTTACAGGAACAAGGCCCAAGGAACACCACCTTTTGGAAGTCTTCAGTGATTCAGATTGGGCAGGAAAGAAGGACACAAGGCGCTCAACATCTTCAGGAATTGTTTGCTTAGACGGTCAGTGCATTTACTCTTTTTCTAGGAACCAGAAGTCGGTTAGCTTGAGCAGTGGTGAAGCAGAGTACTACGCAGGAGCGTCAGCAGCGTCAGATTCTATCTTGTTGAAGGAAGCAGTGGAATTCTTGACCAGGAAACAATGCAAGGTACACTTGTATATGGATTCTTCTGCAGCTAGAGGAATTATTACAAGGCAAGGTGTAGGTAGAGTCAAGCATTTGCAGATCAGGACCCTTTTTCTTCAAGACCTCCACAAAGAAGGAACAATTAGTGTTCACCCAGTAGGAACCAAGGAAAACACAGCTGATATAGGAACCAAGCCCCTTTCAGCGAAGCGTATCAGACTGTTGTTACACTGGCTAGGTTTTCAGACCAGCGAGAACGAGCCAGTAGGTAGAGAAGAGCTCAAGGAACACAAGGCCCAAACACAAGCTAAAGCAGTTGTAAGGATGATCAAGAGCCCAGGAACTTTGTCTTTTGCAGCTTTGTTGTTTGCAGGAATTTCAGGTATTTCGGACAGTCTTCAGATTCAGAGTTTCAAGGAACAGTGTTTTGAGAGTTGTGTTCAAGAAGAAGAGTTTCAGGCAGACTTTCAGGAACATGTTTTCTGCTGTGCAAGTGCATGCGAGCAGGACGGCATATGCAGTGACACGAGTGCATGTGAGCTAGGAACGTTTGCAGGAACAGCGCATGGAACAACATGTAGTGAGATGCTTTCGCAGCTCAAGGAACTCTGCGGAACACTCGCAGAACGCTCAGGTATCCAGGAACTAGTACGCCCAGTAGCAGGTCAAGGCACCTTACCAGGAACCTCAGCAGCCATGGAAGCGAGCGCGAGTTCAAGCAAAAGCTCAGAAGAGATCGTCAAGGAACTTCAGACCTTGAAAGAAGCGGCAGTCACGTTGAAGACTGCTACAGAAGAAAGGAACTTGATCGCGGAGTCGATCAGGAAGAACACAGAGGAAGCTGCGCGTTTGCGCAAAAGTCAGGAACACGTTGCAGGATGTGTGGAAAGTTTGACATCCCAAATCTACAGCGTGAAGCACCAGGTTCAGGAAATGGCCGAAGAGAACGAAAGAGACCGGAAGCAGGTCAAGGAACACATGAACTTCGTCCTAGGTACATGTGATTCCGTGAAGGAACAGCTGAACCAGATGATGCAGGACTTCTACGAGCAACAGCAAGAGGAACAAGAAGAAGAAGAAGACGAAGAGGAACAAAGGAAAAGAGAAGCCAAGGACCGAGAACTAGAAGGTGAACTACGTCGTGAAGGACACGGACAAGGAACAGCACCTTCGAGAGCTACGTCACCTACCTCCCAGGAACACAAAGGAGAAGACGATATAAGGAACTGGTCAGACAGGAGCTACTTCGAAGGACTCCAAGAACAGGAAGAAAGCCAGGACTACTTTGGCGAGAACGAGAACGAGGCCTACGTGGACAGCTACGTTGGAGGAGAAGATCCCGGGGAGTACCCCGAAGAAGCCAAAGCAGAAGAAGGAACAGCAGCAGCAGAGGAAGAAGAAAGCGAGGAAGCAAAGGAAGAAAGAAGGAAGAAGAAGATCGCGGAGATCAACGCCAAAAGCAAGCAAAGGCTAAAGGAGAAAGAAGAGGAAAAGAAGCAGTTTCCGTACCCCTACGACTACAGCAGCGAATGGAAGGAATACTCCGAGAACGGCGAGATCTACAAGCAGCACAGAGTCACAGGAGAAAAGATCCACATCGACAAGGACTACACGTACAAGCACGAGAAGGGAACAAAAGGAAAGAAGGAAGGAAAAGGAAAAGGAAAACCAAAGGCAAGAGCAGAAAGCACAGGATTTCGACCTCGAGATGAAGATGATCGCAAATATTGGAATGAACAGGACAAGATCTCAAAGGAGCAGAAGGAAGCGAAAGCCAAAGCAGAAGAGGAGAAGAAGGCAAAGGAGGAGCAGATTGCCAAAGCAAGAAGGATTTTGGAAGAAGCAGCAGAAGAGCAGGAAAAGCGAGACAGAGAGCAGGCAAAAGCAGAAGCCGCAGCAGCCGCCGAGAGAAGGCGAGAGGTAGAAGCGGCAGCCAAAGCAAAAGCAGAGAGAGAGGCAAAGGAAAAGGAGGAGACAGAAGCAGCAGCCGCAGCAGCCAAAGAGGAAAAGGAAAGAAAGGAACAGGAGAAGAAAAGAAAGGAGAAGGAAGCCAGGAAGAAGAGAGAGGAGGATCAAAAGGCATCGTCAGCGTACATTGCCAAGAAGGAAGCAGAGAAGAAGGCAGCAGCATCAACAGCAACAGGATCAGGAGAAGCAGACAGGATCCAGAAGCTTGAAGAAATGATGAAGGAGATGATGAAGGAACGCAAAGAGGATAAAGAAAGAATTGCAAGCCTTACACAGGAGCTTGAGAGCAGAGGATCAGCAGCCGGGTCGCAGGCACCCACGGAACCAGACACAGCACCAGCAACACCAGCAAAAGAAGAGGAGAAGCCAGAAGGAAAAGGAACAGGAAAGGAGCCACCGAGTGTCACACAGCAGCAGCAAAGGAAAGGAGGAAAGGACGACCCAGAACTTTCCGCCAAAGGACCAGTGAACGAAGAATCGTTCATGAAGGGCAAAGGAAAAGGAGAGTTTGAAGGAAACTGGTTTGCAGTCTACGGTTTCCAGAACAGGAACTACCAGTGGAAGTGGAACGAAGTCAAGACGCAGTGGTACTGGTATTCCGGATCAAAGGAAACAGGTTGGAAAGCAGGATCAAGAGACAAGCAAGGAAAAGAGAAGTGCATGGCACAAGCAAGGCAGCGTGCAGAGTGGCTAGAGCAAGAACTCAAGGAACAGAAAGAAGTCAGCAACGAAGAAGAAGGAGTAAAAGTCTACAAGGTCGACGACGGCGAAGTGACCTTCCAGTGAAGCAAAGGAACAGCGAGCAGTACTGAGGCCAGAGAGCCGAGGAAAGAAGCAGCAGGACACAGGAACCGTGGCACAGCCCTTTTTGTTTCTGTGGTGATCTAAGTATAGTAAAGGAACGTCTTTTGTACAGTCGAGCAACCTTGGAGAGGATTGCGAGTGAACATAGGAACATATGTTTGCGATGAGGCAGAGTGTTTGTTTTGCAAGTGAAAAGGAACTGCAGTGTGTTTACTGTTGACAGGAAAAGTCGGAGTCACCTCAGTCGAGGAACTTTCGCTAACTCCGAAGGCGGGGTGTTAAACATCTTGCCAGGAACAGTAACACAGTTAGTGCAGTGCAGTTAATGTACAGGAATAGCCGTCACGCACACGCGACGTGCAAGGCTCGAGACCAGCGGACACAGTGACCCACAAGGAAAAGTGACCGCTTCAGTTTGAGAGTAGGAAGCTTAGTGAAGCCCGTTCTTTAACAAAATCCCTAAAACCCGAAACCCCAAACCCCTAAAACCCCAACTCGCCAAAGCCGCTCCAATGTCCCTGAATTAAGGAATGTTCCTTAAATCATATTCGGGAACCTCCTATAATGTGGAGTCTGTGGGCGTAGCCCCCAAAATCCCAAAGCCTTACTTGGAGGTTCATGGGTAGTTATAAGCGGGTTATAAGTCCTAATTGGCTTATAAGCATAGTTACCCTACTTATAACCCTACTTACAACTACCCATGAACCTCCAAGTAGTCCTTGACCCCAAACCTATACAACCCCAAAGTTGCCAAAAGCCATTTGCCTAGGGCTCCCCTTCGAGCAGACCAAAGTCGCGAAGCCGAAGACGTGTCACAGCCGCGGTTTGGGTTGTCTGTTTAGGGTTTAGAGGTTGAGGGGTTTGGGGCTTAGGGTTTAGGGTTGAAGGGGTTGGGGGTTGAGGGGTTTGGGGCTTAGGGTTTTGGGTTTGGGGTTTGGGGGTTTGGGGGGTTTGGGGTTGAGGGGTTTGGGGCTTAGGATTTTGGGGTTAGGGTTGAGGGGTTTGGGGGGTTTGGGGGGTTTGGGGTTGAGGGGTTTGGGCTTAGGGTTTTGGGTTTAGGGTTGAGGGGTTTGGGGCTTAGGGTTTTGGGTTTAGGGGTTTGGGGGGTTTGGGGTTGAGGGGTTTGGGGTTTAGGGTTTGGGTTCTGGGAGTTCGGATTTAGTTTTTCATGATCTTTAGATCTTTGCGTCGTTTACGGTTTCGCAGTTTATGCGTGGTTCGGGCTTTCCTGCTTCTGGGCTTACTTCGTTGCCCCGCTTCCTACTAATGTGTGGATCGGAAGAGTTTGTTTTTTCGTACCATCGCCCCTGAAGCCCGATTCTAATTGAAGGTGTCCTGCATTATGCCTTCCGTACTCCAAGCACCAGACTTGTGACAAAGGGTGAAACATGCATAATACAGGGGCGATAAACATTACCAATACTATTTGGCGGTGGTCCTTATCATAATTTTGGTATCATGGTCCCCAAAACCCTCTTCTAATTATTCAGGCAACTGTTTTATGTGACTGCAGGATGCTCTTTGCTTTCGCGACGCAGAACTTCATGCATCAAGCCTCAAACCCGAAACTTTCCGAAGCCCTAAGCCCTGAACTCCGAACCCCTAACCCTGAACCCTTCTGAGGTCCTTGTTCCCGGAGCTTCTGCCCGACGAATCGGAGGCCTGGCTGCGAAGCTCGGAGAATCGAACCAAGGGCCTAAGACCCTGAGTGAACAGCTAGGAAAGGTTTAGGGCGGAGGTTTTTTTGGGTGTGGTTTGAGTTGAGGGTTTTGGTCTTGGGGATTGGGGCCGAGGGTCCTGCGTACGTGTGCAGTAGAAGGTAAGGTTTCTATACAGCCGGACTTACGAAGATGGTTTGGTTAAGTATCCCCCCATAGGCATTTATGGCATGTGGGCTAGTAGCGGCATCCTCTTGCTCTCCTTGTTGTACCTATTCAAGCATAGTATAAACACGTGTGTTCCCAACACCCAAGTCTAACAATCAAGGGCCCCATAATATTGATACTGTTGGTTCCGCATTCAGGGTCGAGGGCTGTCGAGCTTGGCCCAAACGCACCAGAAACACAACTGAAGCCGTCCTTCAGCAGCAGGACGAGGAGGAAGCCTCTGCAGAGGAGGAGCCGCGTATGCTTTTCGTTGAGTTGTCTGGCATGTTCCGTCGATTCTTTTCATAAGGGCTTTAGAATATGTCTTCGTAGAGTCCACTGATGCAGCTTGTGCATTGATACGGCAATAGAATTGGTTGCGGTTCTTCCCATCTCACTTGATGCAACATTCAGAACTTCTGCTCAAGCTTCCCGTGAGTTGATCAACTGTGGTTGGACATTGACAGTCATGACATCGAGCCGAAGCACGAACTGCCTACAAACAAGTGGAGCTATGCCTTTAAATTGCAACAGGCTTCTCTTAGTACAGGATGCTTAATGCAAGGGTTCTTCGACTATAGACAAGCCTCATATTGATGTGCATGCCTTGTCATGCCTTCTGCCTTCTTCTCAACTTATAGGTGTAGCTCCCCTAGACACAAAACCTTTCAAGCCAGCCCCTTGGAAAAAAGTAGATCCCATATCAAGGCCCTTGTCAAGGATTCTTAAGATTCCTGTTAGCTTTCTTCATGAATATGGTGCGTCTAACATCCTTATAAATGCCCCTCGCAAGAAACCCTAAACCCGACCCCTCAACCCTAAACCCTAATCCCCCCCTAAACCCTAAACTCTAAAACCCAAACATCCCTAAACCCCACACCCCCTAGACCCTAAACTCTAAACCCTAAACATCCCTAAACCCCACACCAACTAAACCCTAAACTCTGAACCGTAAACATCCTTAAACCCCACACCCTGCTTGTGTCTCCGGAGAGGACCAGGAGGAGGATCCCCAGTCTTCCCGCGGAGACCTCCAGGCTCCTCCCTGATCCCCCTTGGCTTCGATAAGGTTTAGGCTTTAGGGTTTGGGGTTTAGGGTTTACGGGTTTGGGGTTTAGGGCTTACGGTTTAGGGGTTTAGGGTTTAGGCTTAGGGTCTACTATAAGCATGATATAGGGGAGTATAGGGTCTACAAATTCCCAGGCATCTAAGGACTCATATATTAAGGCTTTTGGGGCCCAAAAAGACCATACTATATAAGGCTTTTGGGCTATTATGTTGATGCCCAGGGAATAAGGGAGTATGGGGTTTACAATAAGGGAATGCAGGGGGATCTATAAGGATCATGCAGGAACTATTACAGGTCGGCTGCGGGTGTAGGGGTTCGGGGGTTTAGGGCTCAGGGGTTTAGGGGTTAGGGATTTCTTATGGGTTCTAGGGTGGCTTCTATAGGTTTTAGGCTGAGACCTTGGGTGTGGCTAGGGGCTTGCAAGGTACGCTGCGCGGGCTTCAGGGCCAATGTTTCACTGTCGCGGTTCGGTGAGTTTCTAAGCGTATCTTAGGCTTTTTTGGGGACAGGCGTCAAGTGTTCGGAGTAGACTTGCGGGCTTCTGTCATTAGCTTGTCCAGATACGGGCCGAACCAGCATTGCAACACACCCAAATCCCTGGACCCCTGGATTGCTCCCAAGTCTTAGGAACGTATAAGGTATACCTACGATTAGGTATCTCTTCGTCGGTGGAGCACGAGCAAAGGAACTAAACAGTTCCTGTTAATGAAAACATGTTATTCGGCAGACAGCCTTGCCTCAAATCTGAGAAGCTCCTATCTCATATTCCAAACATGTTGTTGTGTTGCATTCGAAGGGGTAACTTGATACTCTGCAGAATTTCTTTTCTCAACTTCAGAGAAACCTCAGATGTTGTGTTGACATGTTGTGTTGCTTCGGTGGAAGAAGATCGTCTGGAATGTCATGCGACGTGTCAGTGTCTGTGGCTCAGATACGGTCTCCAGGCATCTCGGATACGTGGCCATGGTGGAGCAATGCCTTCCCTTTGCGGGAAAGGGGTCCCGGGGAGAAGTCAGCAGACTTCAACCCGGCGCCTAGGGGCGGTTCATGGGCATGGGGCTATCCGCCGCCGCCAGACTATGGGTATGTTCACCATGCTGGCCGACATGAGTACGACGAAGATGATGAAGACGACAGTCGTAGCGTCGACAGGGGCTCGTCGACGACTCTTGTCTTCGTCTTCTCTACGTACACATTTCATGCTTGTTGGTGGTGTCTGTCGAGACTTGTATGATGTTGGGAAGCACGACAGGACTACGAAAGGTTGAGGGTTCAGGGTGTAGGTTTAGGGTACCGTCCTTGTCAACAACAGTGCGATTCGCCAGGCCTGCATCCATGCAACGGCTTTTGCTCCTCGGCTTTGGGATTGACCGGTCGCTTTGTAATGATTTGAACAGGTCTGTTTGCAACCTGTAAGGGTTTGCAGAGAGGATAGAGGGGATTGAATGGTTTGCATGGGGTTGCACTCTTTCTTATGCAGGGACTTTGTAGGGACCGTTGAGAATGGGGCTTGTAGTCTTGAGGGGCTCTGATCACTCTGGTCTTCAGGGTTGGGGATGCGATGGTTTATGTCTTAGGACTGTCGGTTTTGGTGTTGTTTCGGGCGTTCGTGCTTTTATTGAGGGCTTGGAATTGTCGGTTTTGAGGCGGTTCTGTTGTTCTCGATTCTTTTGTGTCTGGCGTTGCAGCCTACGGTTTTGTTGAACTGCTGCTCCCCCAAGCCCTGAAGCCTCATCCGTTGTAGTGTTTAGGCTTGCGGTGATTGTGATTCGGGGCCCCTTTGTTATCCCTGTGATCGGGTAGTTGTCGCTGGATAAATACTATTGATGATCCAGGCCCACATACTGCAGCAGCAGTCAGCTTGACTGGCGTGGGGATAGATGAGGCCGCAGTTTACCAGCGGGGCAAGGATAACCCCATGGCTCACAGCCTAAAGCCCTCAACGCAAGTCATAAACCTGCCACAGCAAACACAGAAAGGTTCGGAGAGTGCGGGCGGATGGCTTCAAGCCCACCGGCGACATCCAAGGCATCCAGCCACGTGAAAAAATGCAACAAGTTCGGGTATTGATATGTTGGCATGAATTGTCTTACAATTCATGGAGTCCCGAAGACGGAAGCGAGGTGATAGGTCTGAGAGCAGCCTGTCCAAGCGCTTCTGCAATCAATCTTCTCTTATGGCAGGTCCAGTGCTGCCAGGAGCCTTGCGAATTATCTTCTCCTCATCGTGCTTTTAGGCTTATGGATTCGAAATACGTAGTGTATGAGCCCAGGCCCTGGATTTAGGAGGAAGCCCGACACATTCATGTCACTCTGTCGACAAAAGGAAGGAAAGACGGGCTAAGTATCTCTTTGCATATGGGAGTTTCCGACAATTGGGGTACCTTATTTTGGGGGTCCTTATAATAAGGATCCCACTATTTAGGGTACTATATTAGGGTCCCCTATTTCCGGAAACTCCCATATGGGCGATAAGGGGGTTCTAACTGGCTAGTCCTCCGTGTTGTCCCTAAGGCTCTGATTGTGTAAGGTATCACAATTTTGAAGGGAGTATAAATACAATACACTTAGTAACCTATTCCCTGGCTTGCCTTTGAAGGCACGCGACTCTTCCGGATCTTAGATGCCGACCGTGATGGGGTGCTCTCGAAGAAGGACTCGGGCCTTCGCGTTGAAGGTTTGTCCCCGTCCCCTCCCGACAAACGAAAACTCAGCCATTGGAGCCCCTGCTTGAAGAAGTTCCTAGACCGGCTTTGGGTATCAGGGTTTCAGGTTGTTTCGAGATTTCTTGAGGTTTGCTATTGAAGGGATTACTCCCTAAACCCTAAACCCTTTCACCCTTGAAGGCGAGCGACAACAACAAACAAACAAACAACACCCCCAAGGTCCAAAGCGGGAAAGCCACAAACCTTAGAACCTGAAGCTCTCATGACCTACACCCCCAAGCCAATCGATCCCTAAACCCTACAACTCGAAAACCCTAAGCCCTAAATTCCCAAAGCCCGAGTCCCTAACACCACAAAAACTCTAAAACCCCCAAAGCCCTACTCCCTAAAGCCCCAAACTCTAAATCCCCAAAGCCCCAAAAAAGCCCTAAAACCAGGACTTTGGCTTCTTGGACCTAAGTCTGGTCCCACCCCACGAGGTGAACGAGGCTGAGCCCGAACAGTCCCGGGCTTGAGGGTTGTGGGGTTTAGGGCTTAGGGGTTTAGGGTTTAGGGTCGGGCTTCAAGGGTTCAGGGACAGGATGAGTTCTACAAAGGTGTTAGGATGTTTTAGGTCTTGGGTGGTTTATGCACGCGTCAGCGTCTAGGGTTCGGTTCAGGGTCCTACGGCGTTCTACGGCAGGTTTGTCTTAGCCGCGGTCTTCGTGTGTGCAACCTATATCAGCTTGATATAGCCACGTGATCCTACCGCTAATTTATACTGTTAGTTCCGTGACGGTCTTTTAGTTTTGTATCACGCGTTCGTGTTCATAACTGTGTTTCAGACGCACATGACAGCGTGCAGAAGTCTCAACGCGGAGAGATCGCATCCTCTAGAATAGTTGCATCATGTAAAGAACAGCAGCAGCGGCAGTGCGCCACACTTGACCTCGAGCGACTCGAGCCCTGTCGGCCTGCATCCTAAACATCCCTAAGCCCTAGACCCTGCACCGACGATGCCGTGTCCCAAACCGGAGTCGAATCGGGCCGTACAACAAGCAGCCGCGCCCTAAACCCTCCGCCCTCCATGAACTGTGGGGCCCTCACAAGCGCTGGACGCTCATTTATGAACAAGGATCCACACAGAGGAACCCCTTGGGTTCAGGGTTTACTTATAGTCTCCATCGTAGCTCCTTTTGGCTACCCTTTTGAGGATCCTAAACATGCAATGGGTTAAGACCCCCGCAAAGGAACTGAACTACAAGGGCAGCTGTATGTAGGGTGTAATGCAGGAACCTGATTAAGAAACCCTGGGGGCCTATAACCCCAAAATAGTATACGTAGGATTCATATGCGGAAGCCTAAAAAAGGCCCAAGGTTTCTTAATCAGGTTCCTACATTAGCAGGCCATCGGACTGCTCCTTCGCCGGCACCAGATGCTGCCCGATGTCGTGGCCAGCGACCTGGAGACTGGGCCAGCATTCGGGGCTTCGGGGTCTCCCTGGACCCTACAGAACCTACCTTTCTTAGGGTTCCTTAGGATGATTTCCTTATATAAGTCCTTCAAAAGGTGGTATTCCGGGTTAAGGTCCCTCTAAGTCCCGGGCGAGACCCTATAAGCCGCAAGGCCAAACATGCGATCCCAAACCCTCAATCATCAAGCCTGAAGCCTTGTGTCGCAAACTTGGAGGGCCCAATCCTACCTAAGGGTCCAGGGTTTGTAGGGTGACAGGGGGACACTAAGCGGAACGATGCACACCCCTCAAACGCCTACTGACATCCCAAAGCCCAAACCTCAAAACCGCGAGGCGCCCCAAACCCCTTGACCTCCTGTAGCCTTAAAGGGCCCTCATAGAAATCTTATGAGCAACTCCTCAGTCGTATGTTCGAAACCCAAGACCCTTAGCCCAAGAAGCTCCTAGTAATCCCTTACAGGATCCGTTTTTGAAACTCTATAACCTCAACCCTGTTCCCTAAGCCCTGAACCCTGTAGCCTATACCCTAAGCTCTGCACCTCAAGAGGCCGGGCATGGCTCCCAAATCGACTTGAAGCGCGTGGTGGAGTGCATGGTCATCGCCGGGGCTCCTCGGGCTTTAGACACTGGTTAATTGGGAGACACAGCGCCATATAGAGCGCAATGCCTCTCAATTCAGGAAGATAGCTTTAAGATAACACCCAGAACTGAATAGGGCTGGGCTTCAAGCGCTAGGTCCCTTCATTGGGATTTGGCTTAAGGCTGCAGAGCCAAGCATTTCGGGTTTCAAGCTTTGGAGTTCACGGGTTGAGAGATTTGGCCCGACACCAGCATTCGATAGTAGTAGTAGTAGTAGTAGTAGTAGTAGTAGTAGTAGTAGTAGTAGTAGTAGTAGTAGTAGTAGTAGTAGTAGTAGTAGTAGTAGTAGTAGTAGTTAGTAGGTAGTATCCCATCCCGACATGTCAGCCACAAACCCTGAGACCTCGCCGAAGCGACTTTGAATAGTGACCATTAGTGTCAAATCCCCGAAGTGTGCAACACAATTATCGTAGGCCTCATAATCATAAACCCCCTTCAAAATGAACCGTGGTGAAAGCATTTGGGCCCCTCTTGTTTGGACCTTTAACAGGTCGAGGAGGAGATAGCGAAGCCGACTGTTGCTGGGCCGCCATTCTCGTGTTGGATTGTTTGGGGTTTGGGGATCGGGCTCTGATGGATATGGCTTATATCATTGTTTCTTTGCGGGCGCAAGTACCTGAGGATCCTACAGAACCCGCACAAGCCATTCCCAACCCCGAGCTCGTTGTAAGAAATGCTGGTGGCAAGGAACTTCCCCAAAACCCTATAATAAACCCTAAGCCCCTTTATGAACCCTAAACGCTACATCCGAATGCATTGAAGGCCGTATTGAGACCAAGTGAGGGTTCTGATTGGGGAGGCCCTGGAGGGTTTAGGTTTAGGATGTAGAGGTTAGGGGCTTAGGGCTTTTTGCATTGGGGGTTGAGGTTTACATAGAGCTTAGGGGATTCAAGCCCAACACCGAAAAGTTGAAATCCAAGTAAAATTGAGAGCGAACGGGTTTACAGATGGTCTTTAGGGGTCGAAGGGGGAGAGTCCAGTGGTGTTGACAACCCTGTACAGAAAAAGCACCTCGACACTTCACGAAGCTATTCCAAAGGTCCTACTTCAAAGAAACATGCACCCTACAAGTCAAAAAAGTTACGACCCTAGCCCAGGCTCAAGTGGTCGCATACTGCACGAAAGCCATCTGGAGTGCGTCCCTTGGAGCCTGGCATGGGTTTGCAGGGTTTTCGAGCGTGTCGTTTGGGTTTAGGCTGTCGGGTTTCCAAGCGTTTAGAATGTTGGATTCAAGACCTGTCTGAGGCTTGGGATTTAGGTGTTCAGGCTTTCATGTTTTGAGCCTGGGGGTGTTGAGATGTCGGGTCGCGATGTTTCGCGGCTTGTCGTTGGTATGTGTTTCCTGGGGGACGGGTTTGCAGTCCATGTAAAAGACTACAGACCCGAAGCAAGCCTGGACCCCGAAATCCCGAAAATTATAAACCCTGTACCCTACATCCCAGATATCCTCAACCCTGCCCCCTGAAGTTTTCGAAAGGCTGAAAAGGGTCCCGAGAAAAAACAAGCAGAGGTCTTGTGTTCTGTAGGGCCCTGAGCACGCAGTCTGCCTCCATTAGCTTCTATGTTTTGGCACCCAAATGTCAGCGATGCTTTCTGAGAGCTTAGGGCTTAGAGCTTGGGGTTTAGTGCTTAGGGCTGAGAGCAACTTGGTAGCTGAGTAGATAGCCTTTAACCTTCTTGGGGGTGTATATAACCCTACCATAAGTCAAAAGGTTAAGCTTTTTTGGGCTAGGATACTCAGCCCCTAAGGCATGGGGTTTCGGATTAAAGTCTGAAGGGTTTCGGGCTATCCTTGTGAGTGCAGGCTGTTGGGGCATCCGGCGGCGTGCCGGCTAGCGTGACCTGGCGACGAAGTAGGAAGAGAGACAGAGAGAGAGACCGGCGTTGCGTATGCAGTTTGCTCTCTAAAGACCTAGTTTTTGCGGGGTCTTTGCAAATAAGTTGTCTTTCAAATGAAGTGTGTTTATAGGGTTTAAAAAGTGTTGTTTTAATCGATTATGGCAGGATTCGGCACAGCTCGCGGATTGCAAGATTGGCTTGAATGAGTTTAAGTGTTCCGGTTGGGCCATTAAGGTTTCATTGATGTGGGGTCCTTCATCCTCAACTCGCCTCCACGCTAAGTAGATTTAGGGAGTGGTTCTGGGCTGGGCCTTTCAGCTCCTCATGCTATAGTTTCAGGAAACTATTCTAATTGCTCAGGCTCCTAAGCTGTTCGATTCAAGATGCTTGCTTCCATCCGTCAGGATGCACGTACACAAACTAATAATGAAGGGGCCTTAATGATTACAATAGGGTTTTGGGGCCCATTTTACTATGACTATCGTTACAATAAGGAAACACACCAACATGATGCTGGTAATTGTTTAGGCGCCTATGGTACCTACCTTGGAGTCAACTGTTCATCGGTAGAGCCTGCGCATGAGAGAAGCGCGAATGAAATCGACTCAGTCTAGCGGCCTACACCTTGTGATGTTTGGGGCTTTCAGCCAGGTTGTGGATGATTTGTATGAGGTTTAGTGCGATGAGAGGTTCGGATATGTTTCGTATTACGGGGTTCGTGCTTCGGGATGTTGAACTAGGGACGGATTGAGTTTGCGATTTTTGGTGTCGGGTTTTACGGTCTGGGGCTGACGTTAGGGCAACGAGGCAACCGTGTGGGGCCGCGCTGCTGGACCAGGGCTCGAAACCCACCGAAGCCCACATCCCTTCTGACGCACGGGCACGAGACCCGTGTGTCCCACGTTAACCGAACAGATCTTCATGGTGCCGAGGCGTAGTTTGCTTCTCTTGCTGACAGAGGCCTCGTTAGAATCGAAGGAGGCAGGGCCACTGACGGACGAACTCTATGCCCAAGGCTTCTCAACCGTGACTGTCCCTATCGGCCCTGTCGTGATCCTGGCGATTGTCATCTTGATCCTGCTCCTTGCAGTGCACGAGGGCTTTGTCGCTGCAGGGGCAAAGCCGCTTCTTGCAAATCACGAGAAGCCCAACAGCCTGCCATTGCAATGCACCTTTGCCACAAATTGGCTTCTCCTGATGGTCACCCTTTCAATGCTGGTGCCGGACTCTCTGGATTACGCACTTGCCATGGGACACTCCGCCACCGCCAGCGGAGTTTTCCTCAGTGCACCCTTTGTTCTTGCAATGATTGGCAATTTTCTGGGGAGACCTCTCACAAGCGAAGTGAATTGGGATCAGCGATTCGCCCGAAATTTGTGTGTGGGCTGCCAGGGTGTAACAGTTGCTGGCAGCCTCACGCTGGCATTCTTGATGCAAGCGGCCTCCCACTGGAGCGAAGCGACGAAGCAAACCTCCTTCTGGTGCTTCCTCCTTGTAAGTAGCGCGAGCCAATTCTTTAACGCTTTGCCGATCGTGGCCTGGGCCACCATGTGGAATGTCGTCACACCCAACAGCCAGAAGACGATCTGGAGCATGATCGCCATCGCCTGTCGCCACTGTGGCCTGGTATTTGGCCCCATGGCTTTCGCAGCCCTCAGCTTCTCGGTGCGGAAGGGGCGCGACATTTCTCCGATCAGCTTGATGGGCTGGTCCTACGTTGGCCTCGCGATGTTTCAAGCTCTGGTGCCTAGGACGCAAGGTGGGTGGTTGGGCCTGAGGAGTTGTTGCTTCAGCGTTTTACTTCAGCATCCTTCTTAGTTTCTTTCACAAGAAGGGTCTCTACCCACCTTGCTTTATATGCCTTACGTACTCTTGAGTCCAGGCACTGACAACCGCGTGCCTTTGCTTGCCGACGGTGGTGTCTCCTCCGACGGAAGATCGAAAAGCTGCGACTGAGGATGAACAGATGGAGCTGAGCCCCGAGGAACATGCTGCGACATGCACCAAAAATTGTTTTCGTGTTTGGGATTTAGGCTTTCGGCCCGGTAGATGAATTCTCAAGAAGAGTTCGTGTTCTAGACGGTAGCCTTGTGAGGCTACTATGTCGTAATGCCCTCTTGAGTTTCGCAAGCGTGCAGGAACTGGCACCCGAGTCGCGAGAGGAGATTGTGAAGAACAACATCCTATACTGCTATGAGCGGACCTTCACCGTCGCCGCCCTCGAGGTCTCCACAATGATGCTCTTAGAAGTGCAGTATGGGTGGTCGAAAGAAGCCTGCGGAGCTTCCTTCGTGACAATCGGTGTGACCACGGTGGCCACCACCATCATCTCCACCATCCTGGTGAGCAGGAAGTGGATCAGAGAGTCCTGGCTCTTCCTGGGATCCACCTTAATCTCCCTCTCCGGCGTCTTCCTGCTCTTTGACTGGAGGCTCCTTAATGGAGCCTTTGGGGGCTCCTCCCTTCTCTTCGCCGACTCTGGGTTCGTTTACAATAGATCTCTACTAAACTCTACGAGTACTATGGTAACTCAAACCTTAAACCCTAAACGCGCAAAGGAACCCGTATAGATCCCTTAGACGGCACCCCTATAGATCCCTGAAAAGGAGCCCTTGTAGATCCCGATTATGGTACCTTTACCACGAACCCAGGACTCCTTGGTCTACGCCTTCTCCGGCGTCTCCAACGGCATCGCGCAGGGCTGGGCCGCCCGGGCGGCCATGAAGGGCACCAAGTACGATATCCAGACCTACCGGGTGCAGAATCTCACCTCCGGTTTTCATCATATAACTATATGCTTTTTCTACATGTCATCAACAGGATACAGGTCATGAAGTACTCCAAGTATGGTACAGCAACTAGTTGCCCTCTCTTTCTGTTCGAACCAGCACCTCCTGAGTCTAAAGAGTCTGCAGAATATCAGAAATGTAGATCACCACAACTCCAAGTATGGTAAAGTAACTAGTTACCCTAAACCCAAACCCTAAGCCCTAAACCCAGAACCCCTCTCTTTTGCTGAAGAGTTTGAGGAATATGGCTGCAGTCCAGATTAGCCGGTTCCTGGTCCCCGCCCTCACCCGTTTCATCGTCGATTTCGGAGGCCGGGCCATCTCTGCCGGTTCAGTCCCAAACTTGGAACCCTTTCCTTCTGTAATTAAACCCCGAAGCTTCCCTACAGCCAAGATTAGACCCTTCTGAACCCGAAGCGTTTAAAAACCCTAACGGTCCCCAAACCTCGATTTCGGAGGCCGGAATGTTTACGTCCTGGTTCAGCTGCTCATGTGCGCCATGGGCACCTCCACCGTCTGGCGCACCGTGAGCCTGGTCTGGCGGGGCGCGAAGGATGGCCAGAGCCAGAAAGCCACTGCCAAGAGTTCAGGCTGCGATCCTGTGTGATATGGGAGTTTCCGATAATTAGGGGTACCTTATATTGGGGTCATTAGAATAAGGATCCTATTATTTAGGGCACTATATCAGGGTCCCCTATTTTCCGAAAGTCCCATATGGGGCTCCTTCACAATCATACAAAGTTACTAGAGCAGTACACACCAAAACCCTGTTCGAATTATTCATGCAGTATGGGGTTCCTTCATATTACGCATAGATATACCAGTCTCTACCCCAAAATCCTACTCTAATGATGAAGGCCCCTGGATTAGAACGCCTGGCAGTGGAAGGAAGCACAGCGGCTTCGGAATAAATGCAGAGGTGGCCGAAAAGTGCTCACCAGGCTGCAAAGCCTTCCTGGGGACGGAAAAGGCAGGCATCGCGACTCCTGCATAATGAGCTTTTGTTGCTTGACTTTGACAACTCCAACCCTGCAGAGATCCATCTTACTATTCCCACTGCTTCTGTTCCATGTTGCAGAGGTCGTGCTTTGCAGTTCTTTGCGTAGACCCTGCCCTCAATCGTTCAACAACAACAGCAACAACAACCACAACAACGACAACAACAACAACAGCAGCTACCCAACAACCAGTGGTAGGAACTCCAATGGGCTTCTCTCGAACTGGCACAGTAGACTGGTAGGCTCAGGGGGTTGAATTCGGGATATAGGCTCTTGTTAGGACCTTCACTGGAAGTACCGCACCAAATGGAAGAAAGGCCCTGAACCCTAAACCCTAAAAAACCAACCCTAAGGCCTAAACACTTAAACCCAGTATGATCTCTTGCTTCAAGGCTCCAGCACAGCATCGGCGCCTTTGTGATCGCCTACAAGCTCTCTCTGCTGGACTCCTTCAAGAGTTTCCTGGTGGTGCCTTGTCGGTATGTACAGCGTGCTTATATAATATCTGCTTGTATATATACACTTGTATACATACACATATACTCACATGCATACATGTATTTGAATACATACATATATATATATATATACACATATACAAATATAAACACACATAATTACATAATGACTTTCACTTTCCTCGTTGCCAAAGATCCAGCTTCAGCTAACGCACCTGAGGACAGATTCTAGAATCCGGCACCTAGGTGCTGCACATGTGTGCATCCTCATCGCAGACTGTTCAGGCTCCCGGCACTAGTGCCCAAAGCGGAGCCGGTCACAGGCACTTCACATAGTAGAATATATAAAAGTCGTTAGCCATGGCTTCCACGTCCGCACGACTAATCTGGATGCCAGGCTTTCCATCATCAGCATGATAAATCTTGCTACTGGTATGATCATACAACAGTGCCGTGTAGTGACCTGAGTCGGGCCTTTCGCCCCAATGAATCAAAATAGATCGCAGCTGGTACTTCACATACTTGATGTTAGAGCTCTCACCAAACACAGGTAACATGACATGATCCTCCGCTTTCACTTTGAACCGTCGTTTCACGGCTCTGCCACTGGTACCCAGCCCGCGAAAGTCAAACCGTCCGGTTTGGATGACAAGAATTGGTGGTCCTTCAATCGCTGCATGTAGCTCTTCCTGACAATGCCAACCTTGAATCATGCTTTGAACAGTAACAGCAGTCTCCGAGCTACGCACAGCGGTATCAGAAGGGACAATCAGCAAAGGCGCCGAACTACCCCTATCAACGCACTCAGCATCCGGATTTCCCCTCTCTCTGGCTTGCCAGTGGGTCACCATCAGGTCTGCAGTGACCAACTGTCTGTCCACCAGATGTTGCATGAACTCCGCCCCATCATGCTGCCTGTGTGGCTCCCCCCATTCCCTCAAGGCAGTCCGCCAAAGTGGACTTGACCACATGAGGGTGGCCCCATTCTTCACCATCAGCTCCGTGATGAAGTGCCGTAGTTCAGGCCCAAAAGCTTGAGCCAAGGACCCTCCTCCAGCTGAGACATGTATGATGCATTTCATCACTGCGTTGGCATAGCAGTGATTCCCGGGGTTCAGCAGGCAGAGATTCACTGCCCCGTCACTTTGGCCAAGCGTTGAGCCAGGCCACTTCTCTGCATCGTCTCGCGCCTGAGGTAGGCTCCAGCCGCCACCCACACTCCTGAGCGCTCCAGCTGGTGAAGCTTCTTCCACATCAGGTGGGCCTTCTCGGTCCTCAATCCAATCTCCAGTAGCATGGTCAGCGTGGCTGATTTGTACTGCTCGGCCATCTTCCTGGTGGCATGATAGCGGCTTATCACCAGTGGTTCCACACAGGCCACGATCATCTCGTCCAAAGCCTCGCGCGCCTCTTGGATCGGTATGGCGGTGATGCTGTCGTCCTTGACGTGCTTCTTCTCCTCCGCATTCCACTTGAGGCCATTGATCGCCTTCTCGTCCTGAGTAAGCCAATCCATGGAAACCGCCGTCGATCGGGATGACGGTGTTTCCACCATCTTTTCGAACCGGCCTTTCACCTCCATCAGGAGGTGTTGAAATAGCATCGTCCTCATTGGCATCGTGAGCTTCTCCGGGGACTGTTGCTTTAGTTGATGCCATTGTTGTCCGACCTTGAACGAGGAGACTGCTAAGTTGTTTGGCACATCTGTCTTGAGGAAAATGACAAAGGCTGAGTCCTGTTTGTGGATCGCGTGTTGTGCTTCGTGTCGCAGGACCAGGGTTGCCATCATCGCCATCACTGCCTTGACATCCTCCTGGTTGTCCGGAACAAGTTCCTGGTCTTCCCAGGTGCTGCGGCTCTGGCCGCTCCATGTGGAGTCCCCCCACACAGAGCTCTCCTCGTGCCTCTTTCGATTGTCCCAGTAGTTGCCGAAGAACGTCTGGTCCCTTGCTCTGGGTTTTTGTTGGCCTCGACCTTTGCCTTGGTTTCTCTCGGCACCGTGGCCTTTCGGGCCTCCCTTGTGGTACTTCTGGCGGTGCTCCGGATTCTCGCTCGGACGGCTGTGATCCCCGTCCAGCTCCATCGCCTGCTCCGGTACTCCACTCCCGGATGGTGCAAGTTCTTGAAGAAGCCGGAGTTCTCTCGTGGCGGCCTCCATGGGGCTGGGTCGCAGCGACTATGTGATTGTGCTGCAATGTAGAGTTGCCCACTGCGGAGTCATCACTGAGGTCTCGAAGGTTGTTGCCTCTACCTATGCGGAGCATGACATATACTCCATTGAAGATCCCCGCGCAGGCCTTAAGGTGAGCCGACTTGCGTTGATAGGGGGTGCCACAAAATTGGCACGGATTTTGGAGCCCCAAGACACTCCTGCCGATCAAGTCCTGACTGCGATCAATGAGGGGTCGTAACTCTTTGTGTCTAGCCAACATGTGTCGTCGAACGTATGACGGTTTCACCGCCCACTGATGGCACTCTGGACAATGATGAAGTGTCTGTTGTGTACGTGGGTGTAGGGCAACTTCCTTCCATGTGCAGTGCTGAGTCAATTGCAAGATTTCAGGGCGATCAACTAGGGCTTCGCTCGTCACCTCCATCTCACCTTGTCCAGCAGGCTGCTCACTCAAATCACGTAGTGGTTGGCATCCCTTGGCACTGATGTGGTAAAAGAATGCATGCCATGTGGTGAACTTGCGCTGGCAGTGTTGACACTGTGGCATGCCCGACTGCGCGTGCTGCATGACGTGGGAGCGTAAGTTTCTCTTGTTCTCATGGAAGACAGCAACCTGCTCCTCTTCAGTCATGTGACTACGGAATTGATGTCTTTTTAGGGAGGCCATGGTGGCATATGAGACCCCACATGTGGATTACATAATGACATACATACATACATACCTTCATACATGCACATGGTATCTATGCTTAGGGCTGGGGGTAAGTTCCGGGTTTAGGTTTAGGTGTGTATATACATACAGACACATAGAAGTCTGCGATGCGCTCTGGGTTTAGAAGTGTTTTGGGTTGCGGTCGAGGGCTCTGCGGCTTTTTGGTGATTGGAACCCGAGCCTCTCGCTGAAACATATGTGACAGATACCAACTCGAGTCTACATACACCCAAACCCAAAGCCTAGTCAAGGCTCAATCTAGACTCTAGAGTGACTACACGCCTAATCTAGGTCCAGTCCATCAGCTCGTATGACCCAAATCCCTCGTTCCTGTTTTCCTTGCACCCGGAATCCTTCATGTGTAACATATACAAAAGTAAACGATGATGTATTAACAGGAACATTTAATGCCACATACTATAGTTATAAGTATACCATTATACAGTATATGGTATTACATATTTGACCTTCGGCGATCAGTCCTGAACCTGGAAGCCTGAAGACAAAACCCCAATCGCTGTGAGCCATCCATTGAAAGCTTGGCTTTCAGCTTCGAGCCGAATATTCCCAGAACTTGTAGCCGAAGCGAACTCTGCAACCCTAACAGCCCAAAGCCACCAGCTCAAAGCCTACAGACCCAAGAGCCGCACTGAAGCTTTAAACCCTATGCATTCGAGGCCCCAAACTCCGAATCCCCGTCCCCAGGCCCCAAGAATCCTTAGGCCCAAAACTCTGGAACCCCTCCTAGGAACTCGAAACTCCAAAGCCTCCACCCGAATCCTTAAGCCGTGAACCCTAAACCCTGAGCTCTGAATGCTAAACCCGAAGGGGCGGTGGGAAAACTGCATGCGTGGCTTCCGGCGTCTCAGCGACTCAAAGCATGCCTCTGGGGCAGCATCCCGGGTCTTAAGAAGAGAAGGGGTGTATAGCTTGAGGGCTACAGAGCTTTTGTGACTTGGTACAGGCTTCAAGCCGAAACTGTCATGGCTTAGGCTTTAGGGATTGGGGCTTCTAAGGCATCTTAGAGACATGAAGGTGTCAGTACGTGTCTTCAGTCCGTGATCTCAAGGCCTGGGTAGTTCGGCTCGGCTGTTTCAGACCATCGATATCGGGAACCCAAGAGATGTTGGAGAACTTCTCAGGCCCCAATAAGTCCGTCCATCCTGGGCCTAGTCGGATGTGCATCTGTGCTAACACTGCAGGTTTTTTTGTACGCGTCACCTCGGTTCAGTCCGTCGAGCCTGAATCCTAACTCCTAACACAGAT